ATGTAGTATCTTCCTCGGTGGGGATGTAGGTGACATCTTCCTCATCATAAGGAGTGGGAGTAACATATTCCCGGTAGTCAGGAAGGATTGTAGTGTATTCATCCTGAAGGAAGGGAGGATGAGTGGCTTCATCAGCAGGTCCTTGGTCTGAAACTGATACTTCTTGGGTAATATTACTGCTTGCGTTTTGGTGACGATCATTCTCTCCCCTCTGAATCAGGGACACCACAGGATCTACAGGGGCAGTGTTGCTGCTCAAGACCTCAGGGTGTACGTCAGGAATGATGGGTATTTCATACAATAAGGAATCGATCTCCAGGTTACCTTCATGCAGTTTTAGCTGAACATCATCATGCTCCGGCACTTCAGTCACTATCTCTGTGCCAGTCTCGAATGCAGTCACAGCTTCCTCTGTCACACTGGCTGTCTCAGGAGCTTCATAGAGTTGTGGAATCTGAGGGTGGGGAATATTCACTTCTGGTTGCTGGAAGTCTCCTTCTACACTGAGAGTTACAGGATTTTCATGGCGGATGTCGATCTGGAAAACCTCGTTATGTTCAGTGTCTTCTGGTGCCACTGTCGTTGTCTGAATATCACTGTCTCCAAATACCTCTTCTGATGATTCACTGGAATAATCTGTCTCTTCAACAAGGCCTGTAGTGTCCTGTACCTGCGTATTGTCAAACTGTAGATTTTCGCCACTTAGATCCTGAATGAAGGGAGGAGTCTGTGGGGAAAATTCACCTACAGCAATTCCATAACTGTAATCCTGTCCTTTGTTTGGACATGAAATGCTGTTGCACAAAGGCTGGACAGCCTCAGGGGCTTGGCCATGTTCCAAATCAACTGGGGAAGCAGTCGTCTCATCTTTTTCTTGCAGACCATAGAGTGAAGTCACACCTTCCTGATTAAACTTCTCTGTGTATTCCTTTTGTACGACTTCAGACTGATTTGAAATGTCTTGTTCTCCCACATAACCTGTAGGTAGATCTGTCTGAGCCACACCAAACGTACCTTGGGTTGCTGCTTCAGCAGGAGCTTCAAATACTTCTGATGGTATTTCAATAATGAATGTTGATGGCACTTTCGTTGGAGGAATATGTGGGAAATCTGAAGTCTCGGTTCCATAGCCATGAATTTCCTCTTCTTGAACAGGTATGTCCTCAGCTAGAACAGGGAAGCCTGTAGGCTCATCATCTTGTTGTTCAGGGAAAACAGTCGTTACAGAAAAATGTTCATCTCCATCATTAACTGGGAGAACTTCAATTGCATGGACGGGGAAACGTTCTTCTCCTATGGTGGAAAATTCGTCAGTGTGAGTGAAGGTCTGTTCATAACCATAAGCAGGGATGTGTTCTTCATTGTAAACAGGGATCTGTTCTCCAGCCTCCAACTGTACATGGGAAGCCTCCTCTTCTTCTAGGGTAGGAAATTGTTCTTCGAAATTCGCCACAAATTGTTCCTCATGGAGAAGAGGAACAGTTGGGGTAGTGGGTTCTTCCTCTTGGATCGCACTTCCTTCTTCATCGTTAACAGCAAAATAACCTTCACCTTGAAGAGATCCTTCCTCGGGTTGCATAGGGATACGAATTCGCAACTGAAGGGGGTGGATTTGTTCATTACCTGTTCGAAGTTCTACAGTTGAGGCAAGGAATTCGTCCTGGAGAGGGACATACTGTTGTACTTTAGCATGGTACTCGCCTTCCTGACTATAAAGATGTTCTTCCTCTTGAATGGAGAGTTGATTTTCCCCTTGCTCTTCAAGTTGGACGATACTTTCTTCTTCAGTAGTAACAGTCTGATTGGTGTTCTGCTCTTCTGTTTGAACTGGGAATTGTATTTTTACTTGATCCGAGTCGTCATGCACACTAGGGACCTGTTCTTCTTGAGTGAAAATCTGTTCTTTGCCTTGCTCTTCATCAAGGACCTGCTCTCCTTGGGTGGGAGTCTGCTGTTCTTCAGTATGAACAGGGAACAATCCCTGGGTAATCAACTGATCATCATTTTCTTGTAATTGGTTCTCTTGTGTGGGATGCAAGTTTTCTTCTTGGACAGAAGTTCCTACTTGAGAAATATGGAAGACAGTCTCAGGTGTGTCATCATACCTTGGGGCTGCTGAGAGTTCTGGGGATGCGACTTCATTTTGAACTTCGTTGTCCCTTGCTTGGTGATCTTGTACAATGGCCTTATTATCATTACCGACTTGTGATATGCCAGGGACAATAAGATTTTCATCTTCGGCGATACCTCCAGTAGCATGAGGCTCTTCAGGTAGATTGTGCACAGAGACGGACTCTCCTGTGTTAAGAGTGGGAACGTCATATAGTTGAGACACTCCTCCATTCGGCTTGGCTACACAGTCTGCGGATCCCTGGCCACATGCTGTTGGTTTCTCAAGGGCGGCATCGAGTTCATTTTGTGCTTCCTGTGAAGTGCTGGGTGTGTTCTGTGTGTCCTTTTGATCAGTTAGCAACTGGTTGATAACTTGCCGAATTGTCGA